GTCTGTGTTGAAACGTCAAACCAAGTGCCCAGATGTAGACTAGCACAGAGAACATTAGCGCAGGCTGCTCTTGCACCAGAAGCTCCCTCTGGTATCCTAAGTACAGTCCTCTGTCTCTGAGTACATTGTCATCAGGACAGAAATTGCTGTCAGTGCTGAAAGGTTTTTTAACTACTTGAATACTCCCAGTGTTTTCTGTTGTTCATCTGCATTATATACACTTGATTTTGGATGGTAAATCCTTGAGAGTCTTTTCTGTTGTTCATCTGCATTATATACACTTGATTTTGGATGGTAAATCCTTGAGAGTCTTTTCTGTGAATAATGTTACATGCTTTGGAAAAGGAGTGTCCAATCTTTTGGCTTCCCTGTGCCACACTGGAAAAAGAAGAATTTCTTGGGCCACACATAAAATACATTAACACTAATGATAGCTGATGAGCTATAAATAAATAAATAAGTCTCATAATTTTGTTGTTGTTGTTGTTGTTGTTGTCGTTGTTGTTGTTTGTTTTTTGAGACGGAGTCTCACTGTGTAGCCCAGGCTGGAGTGGCTCAATCTCGGCTCACTACAACCTCTGCCTCCCAGGTCCTGGTTCAAGCAATTCTTCTACCTCAGCCTCCCAAGTAGCTGCGATTATGGGGACGAGCCACCACACCCAGCTAATTTTTGTATTTTTTAGTAGAGATGGGGTTTTACCACGTTGGCCAGTCTGGTGTTGAACTCCTGACCTTGTGATCCACCTACCTTGGCCTCCCAAAGTGTTAGGATTACAGGCGTGAGCCACCACGCCCAGCCTCTCATAAAGTTTTCAGAGGTTGGACAAGCTTGCTTTGGAATAATAAAGCAGGGAATCATGAGTAAGAGTCATACATTTTCTCATTTCATAAAGGCATTTGAAAGGAAAACTATGGCCTAACAGTGGTGTGAGGGCTATTTTTCTGTTATTTATTAATTTGAACGTATATTAATTTGCCTACATTCTTCAGTGGAATTCTTATCATTGGCGTTTTATCTGTTACACTCCAACAGGTAAAATGAAGCAGTTGGATGAGGTTTCTAGACTATTTTCCAGACTGTAATCCAGCACATGACCAAGAGATTTCGTTCTCTTCAGAGCTGTGAATATTTTCCTGAATTAGACCCTAAAAGCTCCTAAGAGTCTCTTAAGCTCATAGATCATTGTGATAATGAGCTTGACTTCTACCTCGCTCCTGGTTATTTCTGCCTTCTGACTTTCTTTAATCGATGACACATCCTGAAGCCAACTTGCCAGGTTGCTGAAGCCCAGTGATTCATGAGGGCGTGAGAGGCTGACTGTGTGCAGGCTTTCCACGCGTGCTTACCTGCCGCTGTGGTCCCACTTGATGCCATCGCTCATAGAAACATATTGGTATTGAGGCCTGTATCGCCTCTGCCATAGAAACCGTCCTTTGAGGATGATTTATAAGAGGCATAGGAACCTCCTTCTCAGTGACTTAGTGAAGTATGATCTTACAGCAACATTTTGGGAGTTTTAGACTTCTGGAAATTGCATCCTCTATGGTACGTCTCGCTTATCAGTCTTGTCTTATAACAAGCATTTATAAACAGACACAAAAATGACCATTATAAGAAAGAATAACAGGCTGTACAATATGTGAACTGTATTATTTCCTTATATCTATCAAATGGGGTTTACTTATCATTACCTGTAGTAACATTCATTTTAAAATATTATGTAAACCATATTTTTTCCATTATAAATGCAGTAAATGTTTCACTTAAAAAAATATTGTAGGGCCGGGGGCGGTGGCTCAAGCCTGTAATCCCAGCACTTTGGGAGGCCGAGACGGGTGGATCACGAGGTCAAGAGATCGAGACCATCCTGGTCAACATGGTGAAACCCCGTCTCTACTAAAAATACCAAAAATTAGCTGGGCATGGTGGTGCGTGCCTGTAATCCCAGCTACTCAGGAGGACGAGGCAGGAGAATTGCCTGAACCCAGGAGGCGGAGGTTGCAGTGAGCCGAGATCACGCCATTGCACTCCAGCCTGGGTAACGAGCAAAACTCCGTCTCAAAAAAAAAAAAAAAAATATATATATATATATATATATATATATATATATATTTATATATATATATAGTAGAAGGGTATAGAGTAAGATGTAGAAATTCTCCTTCCCCATATTTTAGCTTTCAGTACAACTCTCTGAAAGCAGTCACTTTTCACAATGTGTTGTTTCTTTGCACAAATTCTCTGAGCATATAGAATTTTACATATATTTATACATACACACTCATTTTTACACAAATAGTCATATTATGCTTACTTGCCTATATCTTGCTTGGTTTTTCACTCTTGTGGCTCTGACTTCTGACAGGCTGGAGTGCAGTGGCACAATTTCAGCTCACTGCAACCTCCGCCTCCCAGGTTCAAGTGATTCTCCTGCTTCAGCCTCCCAAGTAGCTGGGACTACAGCACTTGCCACCATACCTGGCTAATTTTTGTATTTTTAGTAGAGACAGAGTTTCACTATTGGCCAGGCTGTTCTCAAACTCCTGACCTTGTGCTCCACCCGCCTCAGCCTCCCAGAGTGCTGGGGTTGTAGGCATGAGCCACTGCACCTGGCCTAATTTTTGTATTTTTAGTAGAGACAGGATTTCACCATGTTGGCCAGGCTGGTCTCAAATTCCTGGCCTCAAGTGATCCACCCACCTCGGCCTCCCAAAGTGCTGGGATTACAGGTGTGAGCCACCGTGCCTGGCCTATGTACCGTAATTTTTTGATGAGCATTTAAGTTTATATGTGGTTTACACAACCAGTTTATATGTGGTTGTTGTTGAAGTTATATTGTCCTAAACAATGAACATTCCTAGAAGTGAAATTACTGAACCCAGGAGCACGTGTTTTACATTTCAATGAGATGTTTCCAAATTACCTTCCAAAGAGCTTGCACAAATTTACACTTTTACCAATATTGTCTGAGGGGTTTTCTACATCCTCATTTACCAGTCTTTCTTTGGTAATTTTTAATATTCTAATAGATGAAAATTGTGGCTCTTTTAAGATATGCCTTTGTCGAATGTATGTACTGATTGTGTGTTTTTTCCACAAGTCTGATAGCCATTTGAGTATTTGTGTGAATCTCCTATTTTGTGTCCTTTCCCCATTTTTTTTTCTATTGAATCATTTGTCTCTTGCCAAATCCATTTTTATGAGAGAAAAACAAATCATTTTCTAGGAGAGACTGCCATTAATAGATAATCCATCAATAGTTAACAGGAATAAATATATATACCCTACACAAGGACACATGTAAACATTCACCTACTTGGACCCCTAAACAAAATAATAAATATGGCCACATAGCCTAGAGAAAAGGAAGGTCTCTCTGGGATAGATGTGGGGACTGGCCTCACTCTTTCTACTGGTTTTCTATTGCTCCATAAAAACTGGCCACTAACTTAGGAGACTGACAGTTTCCCTGGGACAGGAGTCCCACAAGGCTAAGGCCGAGGTGTTGGCTGGCTGTGTTTTCACGTGGAGCTGTGGATCCTCTTCTGAGTTCACATGGTTATGGCAGGACTTGGTTCCTTGCAACTGTAGGACTGACTTCCCTGCTTCCTTGCTGGCTGTCAGCGGGGGCCACTCGCAGTTCGTACGGGCTGCTCACTTTCCATGCCATCTGGCCCCCTCCACCTCAGAAGTCAGCAAAGGGGAATCTCCTTTGTGTTGAATCCTTTTTATGCTTCCAATCTCTGTCCTCTTTACCCAGACCTGAGTTCATGTGATCAGGACGGGCCCAACTGTATTGCCTATCTTAACGTCAACTAAACAGGAAAATCCTGTGTTTGACTGGAAGAGGTGTATGTCCAGTGGGGCCAGAAGTCTTGGAGACCATCTTAAATTCTGCCCACCACATTTTCCATCTGACTTCCTTGATGGAAGCAGACAGAACTCGTATCTTTTGCCTTAGGAGATCACAGTGAAACATCCAATGCTGGAGGAAGGAGCTAGCATCCCTCTAATCCTTTGTACAACAAAATACATCCATATGGTTCAAAGACCTGGATGTGACAAGCTGGCGCAGTGGCTCACACCTGTAATCCCAGCAGTCAGCAGTTTGGGAGGCGAAGGCAGGAGGATTGCTTGAAGGTAGCAGTTTGAGACCAGCCTAGGCAACATAACAAGAACTCATTTCTACCAAAAAAAAAAAAAAAAAAGGCGTTAGCTGAGTGTGGTGATGCACATCTCTAGTCCTAGCTACTTGAGAGGCTGAGGTGGGAGGGTTGCTGGAGCCCAGAAGTTCAAAGCTACAGTGAGCCATAATCATGCCACTGCACTCATTCCTGGGCAACAGGGCAAGACCCTGTCTCTTAAAAAGAAAATAACCAGCCAGGCATGGTGGCAGGCACCTGTAATCCCAGCTACTCGGGAGACTGAGGCAGGAGAATCACTTGAACCCAGGAGGCGGAGGTTGCAGTGAGCCGAGACTGCACCATTGCACTCCAGCCTGGGCAACCAAGTGAGACTCCGTCTTAAAAAAAAAAAAAAGAAAGAAAGAAAAAGAAAAAAAATATTCTTGTGAACCAAAAGCTGGAGAGAAAATCTAGAAAACCATTTCTACAACTTATACAATGTAGGGAGTAGGGGCGGGGTCAGGGAGACCTTCCTTGACTAAGAATCTAAACCTGGTATTTCTGACTCCAACATCCCCCCTCTTGACCCCCACACCATAGGGACCACCCAGAGGATAGGCTGTTCACCAGCTGCACGAAAGGAGTTTGAGTTCTCTAACCTTGCTGTTTCTTCTTGGTACCAGTGTGATCACAGTATGTGTTTGTGAGATGCTCACCTTGGGTGTTCAATAGAACAGAAGGAACTGACCAGAAACTAAGTAGGTGAGCCACTAAGGGGAACTGTGTTGACGAGCACTGTTCTAACAGAATGCTAAAAGAACTCTCTCCCCTCCCTCTGTCTCTCTCTCTCACCCTCCTACCTGCTGCTTATTCAGGCGCATTATATGTGACTTGCTGGAGACGGAAGAGATTTATATAAAAGAGATTAAAAGCATAATTGATGTAAGTAGATTTGGGGAGTGGGTATCACACATGTATTCAAACTGCAGACGTGTTGTACAAAGAGACTCAAAATGGTTGCCATAAGGCTCCAGAATTCCCACCAAGGTTTCAGGTTTTATAATACGACAAATGTCTCCGGTAGGAATAACAGCCTTCCTGTGGTTTCTTGATCCACGCAGCCAAATGGTTTCCAGAGAATTATGTCATTTCACCCTGATTAAAGCAGTTCCCAAACAGGTTTACCATATTCTTGCCAACAAAGGATATTATAAATAGTTTTTGATACTTTAATAAGGGAAGATTATTTCTTGGTTTGTTTTTGTTTTTGTTTTGAGACAGAGTTTCGCTCTTGTTGCCCAGGCTGGAGTGCAATGGCACAATCTCGGCTCACCACAACCTCCACTTCCCAGATTCAAGCAATTCTCCTGTCTCAGCCTCCCAAGTAGCTGGGATTACAGGCATGCACCACCAGGTAGCTAATTTTGTATTTTTTTTTTTTTAGCAGAGACTGGGTTTCTCCATGTTGGTCAGGGTGGTCTTGAACTCCCAACCTCAGGTGATCTACCCACCTCAGCCTCCCAAAGTTCTGGGATCACAGGCATGAGCCACCCATGCCTGGCCTAGTTCTTGTCCCTTTTTTCCTAAGAGTAAAACTGCTTATTTTCCCTCATTTCTAAGGGAATAATCTTAAGGAAAAAATTGTATGTACACAAATATTTATAATCACATTTTTAACCATAAGATGTTAGAAGCAACCCAAATGTCCAATAAAAAGGGAATGTTTAATAAATTATGATATGCATGCTGAATAAACATTATTCAGCTATTAAAAAATAATTATTTTGGATATGAAATTTTTACATATCCAAAATCATTATTTTTTAATAGCTGAATAATATTGAAAATTTATTTCAACATTGACAATTTTAAACTTAGATATAAGTTTAAATTAAAAACAACATATATATTTACAAGCTGAGTCTAAAATGTATGTGGAAAAACAATACAATATTATATATGTACTATGATTATAACCATATAAAATGAGCGTTTTTAAATTCATGAAGTTAATATAATAAAACATAATAGTGACCAGGCGCAGTGGCTCACACCTGTAATCCCAGCATCATGGAAGCCTGAAGTGGGCAGATCGCTTGAGGTCAGGAGTTCGAGACCAGCCTGGCCAACACGCTGAAACCCTGTCTCTACTAAAAGTACAAACATTAGCCAGGTGTGGTGGTGCGTGCCTATAATCCCAGCTACTTGGGAGGCTGAAACAGGAGAATCACTTGAACTCAGGAGGCGGAGGTTGCAGTGAGCTGAGATCACACCATTGGACTCCAACCTGGGCAAGAAAAGCAAAACTCCCTCTCAAAACTAATACTTATAATAATAATAGTAATTCTATCGGGTCATAAAACAATGGGTACATTTTCCCTTCTTTTACATTAAACCTGCATAACATAAACATTTTTAAATATATTTGCTCTTCCCACAAAAATAATGTTTTATTATCATTGCCATTAAGCCCTCTCCTTCTGAAAGTGGGCACATGAGAAAAATGAAATCAAAAGGAAATACTTGATACAGTAACTTTCAAGAAACAAGTGTGCCGTATTCTCCTGTGATTTCGCTGAGGTTGTGGTTTTGGAAGTAGCTGATTCAGATGGTCTCTGGCATGTTTCTGTCTGTAAAACTTACCTTGTTCCCGCCTCCGCAGGGATACATCACTCCAATGGATTTTATTTGGCTAAAGCATCTAATTCCAGACGCCCTTCAGAATAACAAGGACCTTCTCTTTGGGAATATTAGAGAACTTTACGAATTTCACAGCAGGTATACAGTAATTCACATTATCAGAAGGAATGGAGAGTAAGAGAAGGGTGGAAATGAGACTGATAGAATTGGGGGAAGAAACGCTTAGATGTTTTCAGGTGTAAGCAAGCAGTTTGGAGTCAGTGGATTGGATTGAGGTGGGTTGGCGTGAAAGGAGGGGAGAAGCCCCACAGGCTCCCGGGGAGGAAGGGAAGAGACATCAAAGGAACGTGCACCGGCATCAGACACCCGTGTTGGATGCAGCTGAGTGTTCCTTTGCTTATTTATTCATACATCAGCATTTTTTGAGCACCAGCTCTGTGCCAGGCACTGTGCTCAGCATTGGGAACGGAAACACACATCTACATACCGTTATCATAAGGGGATGCTGGGAACTAGGGTGTTTGTTAGAAAATGCTGACTCTCAAACAAGTTGTACTTTGAACCTAAGGCTACTTGGATATTGAGTTCTAGAGAACTGCAGGAGGGGCTCACACCTGTAATCCCAGCACTGTGGAAGGCTGAGGTGGGCAGATCGCCTGAGGTCAGGAGTTCAAGACCTGCCTGGCCAACGTGGTGAAACACCCTTTCTACTAAAAATACAAAAATTAGCCACATGTGGTGGTGCGTGCCTGTAATTCCAGCTACGTGGGAGAATGAAACTGGAGAATCACTTGAACCTGGGAGGTTCTTGGAGGACCCTGGGAGGACTTTGGAAATCATCTTCAAACCCTTTCATTTTACACATGTGGGAATGGTAACTTGTTGACTCTCTTTATTCACTGTGATGACCCCAAGATCGCGCACCTAATTCACAGAGGGAGAAAAGCTGCTGGGTAAATTCAACCACAGGTGTTCCTAACCCCATCCCTTGTCCATTGGTCAGACACAAAACTGAAATGGAAACCCATTTCTGCTGCTTCCCTTAGAGAAGTTATATAGCCTGTTTGGGCCTCAGGTTTTATATTTATGAAACCCTATCTCGCAGGGTTTGGTGGAGGATTAAATGAGGTATTATTTGTGGAGCACTTAGCTTATGCCTGGCGTGCAGTAAGCTCTCAATGATATTAGTGATAGCAACAGCAGCAGCAGTTCCTATAAATGTTATTTTCATGTACAGGGAGCATCAGCGAGTGTATTCAGGCTGTCTGTGACTAGTGCTTAGAATTATCAGAACATCTGTTAGTGATTTCAGGGTAATCATAGTAATGCCTCAGAATACGGCTTTTTTTTCTGAGTCAATGTGTAGAAGATAAGGCAAGAGCAAGAAGGCCTGGAGAACATTTTTCTAGGCACCTCTTAAAACCTTATATGATTGTACTTAAAAAAAATTATCAGCTTTGTGCAGTGGCAATATTGTAGCCAATGAGGTTTCTCTGAGGCCCGATTATTGCTAACTGAAAACGTTTCCCAATACCCTGCCGTGACGACTTGGGATGCAGTCAGCACTGACAATTTTTGACAGTCTCTACGGATACTGAAAAAAAAAAATTAATTATTGCCGGGTGTGCTAGCTCACACTTGTACCCCAGCACTTTGGGAGGCCGAGGCAGGCCTCACAAGGCCGTTGACCTTGATCACAATGTCAGGAGTTCAAGACCAGCCTGGCCAATCTGATGAAACCCCATCTCTACTAAAAATACAAAACTTACCTGGGCTTGGTGGGATGCCTGTAGTCACAGCTATTCAGGAGGCTGAGGCAGGAGAATCACTTGAATCCAAGAGGCAGACATTGAGGCAGGAGAATCACTTGAACCCGGGAGACGGAGGTTGCAGTGAGCCAAGATCATACCACTGCACTCCAGCCTGGGCCACAGGACAAAACTCTGTGTCAAAAAAATATTAATTATCTACATGTAAAAATCAAAACATTGTTACTTGTGTACTTTTATTTTTCCAGGACTTTTCTCAAAGAGTTGGAAAAGTGTGCTGAGAACCCTGAACTTCTGGCACAGTGCTTTCTCAAGAGAGTAAGTCTGTGCTCCCAGTAAATCAGAATCAAAATAATCATGTTAAAGTCAGCCCTTGCTTTTCTGTGTAAATGGCAAGCACAATGGAAACACCAATGGTCTAAAAACATACCTGCTTCTCCCCCAGTCCAAGCTTTACTAAAGTATAATTCGCAAATAAAAATCATATGTATTCAAACTATACCACGTGATGGTTTGATATGCTTACACCCTGAACTTCTGGCACATTGGTTTCTCAAGAGAGTAAGTCTGTGCTCCCAGTAATCAAAATAATCCTGTTGCAGTCAGCCCTTACTTTCCTGTTTAAATGGCAAGCACAAATGAAAACATTTATTACTGTGTGTGTGTGTGCATGTGTGTGTGTGTATAATCTAAAAAGTTGAGCTCATTGAAGTAGAAGGGTGATTCCCAGGGGCTGGAGACTAGCAGAAATAGGGAGATGTTGGTCACCCGGTACAAACTTGCAGTTACGAGACAAATATGTTCTGGAGATGTAATGCACAGCATGGTGACTGTGATGAATAATACTGTCCTGTATATTTGAAATTTCCCAAGACGGTAGATCTTGTATCTGCCTTTTGAATGGAAAACATGACTCGGCCTCCAAACTTTACCTGACTTTATGTTGCCGGTTAGTAGACATCCTTTCTCCAAGGAGCTTTGGACTGTTAGCCTTTAGAAGAGCAATTTAGGTCAATACTATACTGTTGTTAAGCTCTGAGTTATTATTCTAGCTCCTTAACCAGTCTGAACATTTATCAGGGGCCATCTGTCTTGTGTGTGTGTGTGTGTGTGTGTGTGTGTGTGTGATATTTTTCCTGGAGGGAATAGCAAATTACAGAGTTGCTGTAGTTCTTATGCTCAAATGACCCCTTAGAACCTACTGGTAGAGAGGAAGAGCTACAGAAATGGAAGTCATCCACTGTAGCCATGTATTTGGAAGCAGTGCTTTCTCAAGAGAGTAAGTCTGTGCTCCCAGTAAATCAGAATAGGCATCGTTGAAGCTGTGAGGGAAGAAGTAATCTGTGTTGCATGAAAGAAATCCAGAGTTGGCCTGAGCAGGAGGATAGGGACACAGACTTCCGTAAGGAGGTGGCTGCCTGGGCTTCTCCATCAGAGCAGCATGGGGTCTGTGGCCAGCACAGCCGCTGTGGGCCAGGCTCCCTGGTAGAGCAAGTGAAGCTGGCAAGCTGACGCCAGAGGTTTGGAGCGTCCTTTCTCTCCGGGATACTGCAGATGTGTGCCCACGTCTCAGTGTCTTTGATACCACGAGAATACAGGTTGAACAGCATGTCGAGTCTTCCTTGCTCCCAGCTCTGAAATAGTCACCTCACTTTTCCTGTCTCAGAGTCTTGTGCTACAGGTTGAATGCGGTGTCTGAGGCAGAGCCTGGCACTTCGAGTGTTACTCAAATGACTGAGATGTGAGTTGGTTGCCCAGTGAGCCCCATCTCCCCTCTGGGTGTTTCCATCTTTTGGTTGTTTCTTGGCTTCTTTGCAGGGTTGACTTCCCAGTGACCACAAGGAGCTTGAGGGTGGGGAGAGAGAGGAGGGGGCCGTCAACCACCAGCCTTTTTTCTGCCTGTTTTATCACTCAATGCAGATCTGTTGTGGGAGACATCGACGTCCTGGGCAAAGAGCAGGAAAAGAATGGTTTTCATTTTAGATAAAAGCCAATTCCTGTTTGTGGGTCTACGTACTTGTTTACCAGTAGGTCTTGTAGATGCTCCCACGGCACTCTGTGCCTGTCTGTGTCTCGTAGTTATGGTTGTTCATCGCCCTTCTGTCTATCTCTCCATCACACACACACCCCAACATAAGATTACTTATCATACACCCCCAGTTCCTTACGCATTAGAGTACTCTGGCTTGTTGAATGAATGAATAAACTGTACTATCCTGTCCACTTACTGAAAAATGCAACCTGATTCATTTGTTCTAATTTTTTCCCACCTAGAGAGAAGATCTTCAGATATATTTTAAATACCACAAGAATCTGCCCCGAGCCAGGGCAATCTGGCAAGAGTGTCAAGACTGCGCCTACTTTGGGGTAATGTTGAGAAGACAAAGTCTCCTACAGGTTGTTCCTGGAAAATGTTTCTGTGCATCAAATAGTTAAAAAGATCAAAAGTGGGACCAGGCAGAGGAATTTGGCATTGGGATTTCTGCTTGTTTATGGAGTCCCACAGTTTGAAATGGTGCATGAAAAGTTTTGACACTGCCTTCGATCTCTGTGGGATCGGCCTGTGAGGAGCACCCGTAGTCTGGTGAGAAAACCAGTGTCCTCTTCTAGAATGGGTTTTAAAAATGAAACTGAGTCCAAAAGGTCACACTTCGGGCTCCCTGGAGTGATATCTAGCTCCAAATGGCCCGAACAGACTCTGCCGGCCCCCAGCTTGAAGACAGGCCGCCTCCTTTTCAGAAGGACTTGAAATGCCCCACTGTCTTATAGCGAACTTGGTTACTAAAAGGAATAAATGGTTCTGCTTCCCTAAATGCCTGTAAAAATATTAGCCAAGCCGTCTCTTTCCTCTTTCTGTTATTTCACACACTGTCTCAAGGAGACAGAACAGCCCCACCGTCTCACGGAGCTGCTTAGCACAGCTGCCTCTGTTGGCCATGAAAAGCAGTTCGTCTTTTGTACCTAAATGCTGCCACCTTTGCTCTGTGTATGTTGTTTGTTTTGTTTTATGTTGTTTCTTTTGGCTTTTAAAGGTATGCCAGCGCCAACTGGATCACAAGCTCCCTCTTTTTAAGTATCTTAGAGGACCAAGCCAGAGGCTTCTAAAATACCGGATGCTGTTGAAGGTAAATCAACGAGACAGTGCTTTTCTGTGCTGGGAAAGCAGATGCCTGCACCAGGCTGCTCTTCTATTAGATGTGTAGAGCTGTGCCTTGGTCTTCTAAGGCTGAAGATATGTCCATCCTGCAGGCTTTTTCTCTCCTCCAGCTCTAAATCAACTCCTCTTTGTGGAGTAAGACCAGAGAATCACAGAGTCGATGGGAGCTGAGGGCCTCACAAGTCCCATGTCTAGCCCAGGGCATGAGTCACTAAGGAGTTTGGGTCGGAGAGGAGAGCTCTTTGGGAGCAAGAGTGTGATTTTCCCCACAGTTACTGTTTTATGGGCATTTTCATTTATGGAAGGGAGAAGACAAAACTGGAGTCTTCTCTCCTTTTGCAGCACTGACCTCCATTCTAGATTTAAGGTCTTACCCTCATAGCAGCCTAATAGAGTGGACTTGGATATATCTGAACCCTGAATGCCTAAGTGGTTCTCTCTCTCTCTCTCTCTCTCTCTCTCATCCTTACCCCTCCTTAGTGGTAAGTCATTGACACTAGCACATCTGCAGGCACACATTCTCAGACACCCCAAACAGGATATAAGGGCCTATTATGGCTGGTTTCCTATGTGTGAGCTTGAGGGAAAGGTTTAGGTCATCACTATAATTTGTCTGTTGAATTAACCTCTATGAGGCATTCATGGCCTCTTGCCCAGTGGCCACTGTCTCTTAATTAAAAACAAAGAAAAAAAAACAAGCCCCTACTGTTTGTTCACTGGTTAATTTCCCACGTGCGTGTCTTATTTGATCCCCGCAATCAGACATACCAGCAAAGCTCTGGCCTGCGAAGAAACTGGGACTCAGGAAGGATAAGCTCATTGCCCAACAGTCTGACTCAGAAAAAGTGACTCCTTTCAGGCCCGGCATGATGACACATGCCCGCAGCCCCAGCTACTCAGGAGGCAGAGACAGGCGCCTCCCTTGAGTCCAGGAGTTCAAGGCCAGCCTGGGCAACATAGCAAGGCCTCATCTGTAAAAATAATTAAAAATAATTTTATTTTTCAAACTTTCAAGCTTTCTGTGAGCAGTTTTAGCCTCGGTAAACTCTGCCATTTGCCAGTGATGAGATCTTGACCTCTTGGGCCTTAGTTTTCCTCTGTGTAAACTGAGGGAACTAGAACCGCCTCCGTAGGAGGGTTGTGGAGCAGATGATGGGCACGTGCGGAGGGCCTGGCTCAGTGCCCCAGGAAGCTCTGCGTGCTGCGTAGCCGTCATCTCCGACGTTGAGACTGTCACACCACCCCACCGTAGAGCTGAGGATGCTCATCTGCCTCCTCCAGCGAGCGGCACCTCTGAGCACGTTTGACACAGCGCTCACTCCGGGCCTCATCCTCCTCTGCCCGGCCCCTCGTCACTGTCATTCCCATTCTAGAAGTCCGACGTCTGGGCCCAGTGAGGAGTGAGCAGGACGTAAGTGACAGTCTTCCCTCTCTCAGTCCGGACTCCGGCTTCCCCACAGAGGTGACCTTTACACACCAGCCAGGTTTGGTAGCAGACACAGAGGACTGTGGGGCGTAGTGACTGGAAACACAGACCTGAGAGTTTAGCAGCCCTGGTCTGGCTCCAGGCTTTGACTCTTCCAGGCTGCGTGAACTCAGACGAGTTACTTAACCTCTCTCAGCCTCAGATTTCTCACCTGTAGAATCGCGGTGGCTCACGCCTGTAATCCCAGCACTTTGGGAGGCCGAGGCGGGTGGATCACGAGGTCAGGAGATCGAGGCCATCCTGGTCAATATGGTGAAACCCCGTCTCTACTAAAAATACAAAACATTAGCTAGGCATGGTGGCGCGTGCCTGTAATCCCAGCTACTCGGGAGGCTGAGGCAGGAGAATTGCCTGAACCCAGGAGGCGGAGGTTGCGGTGAGCCGAGATCGCGCCATTGCACTCCAGCCTGGGCAACAAGAGCAAAACTCCGTCTCAAAAAAAAAAAAAAAAAAGAAAAAGAAAAAGAAAATAATAGTACTTTCCTGGTATGACTGTTAGCATTAAATGAGATAATACAGGTTAAAAGCACTTAGAAGGTTTTGTTAGCTGCCTTTCACTGAAGAAACAAGAGATAGAATTACTACAAAACATTCCTTGGGGGAATCTGTGGAGAGCTGTGGGGGCTACCCAGGGCAGACCAGAGCAGCGTCCCCACAGCTAAGCTTCGTGGTGCCTGTGAAACCAGCTCAAGCCATCACATGGCCGCGAAGAAAGGAAGGACCCTGTATTCCTCTGTCGGACTGTCTCTATCTGCGGGGCAGAGCTGCTTTTGTGTCTCCCACACAGGAGCTGTCTTGAAAGAGCATGAATGTTGGACTGATTGCCTCGTGCTTCAGAAAGGATCATGGGATCTTGGTGTGGGGAAGCCTTTCTAAATAAGAGAGGGGGTGATGGGTGATAGCTTATACCATTAAAGACAAAGACTCATGAAGCAGTGGGGAAAATGTGAACAAAATATATAACAGACAGTCAGTATGCTTAATGAATCATGAGCTCCTGGAAATTATAATAAAAAGATGCGCAAAGGACATACCAGTGTGCAAAAGAATGAATACTAATAGCAAACTTTAAAAATAAAAAAACTTCTACACCTCTGGTTATCTGAGGAATTCAGGTAATAGTGAGGTGGATTTCTCTCTTCAGTCGGTAAAGATGTTTGATTAAATGATGTTACCCCTTGTAGGCTAGGGGCTGGTGAAATGGTCTTTCCTATAGAGCTGGCAGGGACACACACAGTCCTTCTCTAAAGAACCTGGAAGTATACCCCAAATTCTTAACATTTACAATTCCACTCTAGGAATTTGGCTTTAGGAAAAATGCACAAAAGTTATTATCATTATCATAGTAAAAAATTTGTTGAACCTAAGTGTTTAATGATAAGGGAGACTGTAATTCAACTGTGGTTATCTGTCAGATACAGCACTGTACCGCAATCAAAGCTCGTGTTTTAGAAAAAATATAATATCATGGGAAAATACTCATGATATATTGTTGAATGAGAAAAAGCAGTCTAAAAAATACTGTGTACAATATGATTCTAAGTTTGTAGAAAGAGCTCTGTGCCAAGTACATGTTTATTCTTTCCCTCTTACAGACTTACACGCGTTCTCAGTCAGCTTAGCGCTGGTTGCAGGGAGTTTGCGCAGTGGATCTTGTTGGCAATCTGCATTTTGATTTTCAACAAGGCTTTTGGGTTCATGCAGGGTCTGCTGGATTTCAAGTCTCCTGAAGATACAGAGATAGACCCAAGTGAACTAGGAAGCTCGTCTAAGGTACTGGATATTAAATATTATGTTTTACATAACTAGCTGTTAATGGTGTTTGTCTATGGGTCAGAGGATTTACAGCAATTTTACTTTATGATCTTTATTATCTATATTTTCAAAAATAGTGTGTATTAGGCCGGGCGCGGTGGCTCAAGCCTGTAATCCCAGCACTTTGGAAGGCCGAGGCGGGTGGATCACAAGGTCAGGAGATAGACACCATCCTGGTCAACATGGTGAAACCCCGTCCCTACTAAAAATACAAAAAATTAGCTGGGCATGGTGGCGCCTGCCTGTAATCCCAGCTACTCAGGAGGCTGAGGCAGGAGAATTGCCTGAACCCAGGAGGCGGAGGTTGCGGTGAGCCGAGATCGCGCCATTGCACTCCAGCCTGGGTAACAAGAGCGAAACTCTGTCTCAAAAAATAAATAAATAAATAAATAAATAAATAAAAATACAAAAACATTAGCTAGGCATGGTGGTGCGTGCCTGTAGTCCCAGCTACTCAGGAGGCTGAGGCAGGAGAATCGCCTGAACCCAGGAGGCGGAGGGTGCGGTGAGCCGAGATCGCGCCATTGCACTCCAGCCTGGGTAACCAGCAAAACTCCGTCAAAAAAAAAAAAAAAAAAGTAGTGTGTGTCCTATAACATATAGTCAAGAAAAAAAGAAAAAAAAAAATAAATAAATAAAAGTTAAAGGCAATTTTAAAGTAGGGATTTGCAGCCCAAAGGGAAGTGGTAATATATTTTCTTCCCTCCACATAATTTTTTTTTTTAACTTTTTGAGACAGAGTCTCACTCTGTCACCCAGGCTAGAGTGCAGTGGTGCGATCTCGGCTCACTGCAACCTCCACCTCCTGGGTTCAAGCAATTCTCCCTGCCTTAGCCTCCAGAGTAGCTGGGATTACAGGTGCCCACTACCATACTCAGCTAATTTTTATATTTTTAGTAGAGACGGGGTTTCACCATGTTGGTCAGGCTGGTCTCAAACTCCTGACCTCAGGTGATCTGCCCGCCTCAGCCTCTCAAAGTGCTAGGATTACAGGTGTAAGCCATCTCGCCCAGCCAAAAGAATTTTAATGGAAACAAAATTAAGTGATAAAATGCATACATAAAAGCCTGGAAGTAAACAAATATGATAAAGTATCTGCTGTGGCTTTCCTGAATGGTAGGATTGCGTATGATTTATGTTTCCTTCTTTGTACCTCTTAGTATATCTGATTTGTATACGTTATGCCTTGTTCTCCTGTGTGTTTGTGTGTGTGTGTGTGTGTGTGTGTGTACTCTAAGAGTCCGCCAAAGATCCCTTAGAAGAAGTGGTGACTGTGACCACACCAGGTTAGGAAGAAATCTGTGGCTTGGCAGTGGGGTTTCTTTTCCATTTCCTATAGAATATTCTGGTTTTAACAAGAAACACTTGAGACATCTCTCATGGGGCAGTCATTTGCATGCCCTTTCCGCTCAGAATGGATGACAAGGACCCCTTGAAAACAGAAGCAGCTCAGGACACAGGTAATATTTTTAGAGCCTGGAGCAAGAGACGCTAGCCCTGGTCAAAAGAGTTTAAAAATGTTTTTAAGGATTTTTCTGAACCCTACATCAGCCACCTTGTGTTTGGTGAAGGAGGGTTAGTGAAAGGAGGAGGGATAGGAGCAGGTGAGTATCTGAAAGGAAACTGAGCATTCAGTGTTAGGTAAGGAGGAAGATGCCTGATACATGAACTTTTAATCCCGTATTGATGCTGTTAAAATAAATCCAGGTGAGAGTCTGTTGTCTTTTACCAGGAAGCGAAGCTTCTTTATTATGAATGAGAAGCTACAAATCCCTGGCACGTTGTCCAGAGGTGGCAGCGTGATCTCTTCCATTCATCAGCCCTGTCACCCCTGTCTCTCATCCAAAGATGCCAATGCCCAGTGCTTCCGCATAGATAAAGAAAACCGTCAACCCTTTGACTACGTTGTGCTGTGGAGGACAAAAAGAGTCAGGGCTGGATGGGGAGCAGCAAAGGGCTGGCTGTTCTTCGTTGTAGAAATTAAATTGAGATGTTAAAAAAAAATACACAGAATAAACCAAAACCATTTTGTGTGCATTTACCAGATAACAGATAAATACAGCATGTAGGTAGCAGGGTGATAAAATACCACCAGCCCATGCTAAGGCCTTTTGACCTGAAAGAGTCATCCCAATCGCATCCTAAATGTCACTGTGGTTAGAACTGGAACATTGGTCTCTTTAATTAGTTACTGCTTTTCCACTGAGTGCTGTGTTTTTATGTTCGGGAGGTGCAGAGAACCGGCACATCTCTTAGGTATCTTCAATGGCGGTGCAGCGTGGGGAGGGCCGGGGACAAGCAGAGGAAGGAAGGGCAGAGTTGGCAGAGATTTCAGCATGCAAATGTTATGTTATGGGCTTACGAGGACATCATTAGTAAATCACATAGCAGCCTCTGTGGAGTTCTTGGTGTCTGGAGGAGTTTACAGATGTCCTCCTCTGGGATGGTGTTAAGTATAATTTTACCAGTAGGAATCAGGCTTTCACATTAAATAGAGGAATATGATGCTCAGATTGTATTTTTTTTTCTTTTATTGTGAGACAACTTTCACTTTGTTGCCCAGGCTTGGTGTGCAGTGGTGCAATCTCAGCTCACTGCAACCTCTGTCTCCTGGGTTCAAGCAATTCTCCTGCCTCAGCCTCTTGAGCAGCTGGGATTACAGGAGCGTGCCACCACACCTGGCTAATTTTTGTGAGTTGTTTTGTTTTGTTTTTTGAGTTGGGATTTCACTCTTGTTACCTAGGCTGGAGTGCAATGGTGTCATCTCGGCTCACTGGAGCCTCCGCCTGCTGGGTTCAAGCAATTCTCCTGCCTCAGCCTCCCAAGTAGCTGGGATTACAGGTGTATGCCGCTATGCCCAGCTAATTTTTGTATTTACTTTAGTAGAGACGGGGTTTCACTACGTTGGTCAGGCTGGTCTTGAACACCTGACCTCAGATGATCCACCTACCTTGGCCTCCCAAAGTGCTGGGCATATAGACGTGGGCCACTGCACCTGGCCAGATCGTATTTTTTTCAATAAGCCCCAGGCAATAGGGATATAAAAGAGTGAGAAGCCAATTTAAAAGGAGCTAGGATTTTCCATGCTTTAAAAAGGCTGAGTTCTGGCTGGGTGTGGTGGCTTACACCTGTAATCCCAGCACTTTGGGAGGCCTAGGTGGACAGATCACCTGAGGTTTGGATTTCGAGACCAGCCTGGCCAACATGGTGAAACCCTCTCTCTACTAAAAATACAAAAGGTAGCCGGGCATGGTGGCGCACACCTGTAATCCCAGCTACTCAGGAGGCTGAGACAGGAGAATTGCTTGAACCCATGAGGAAGAGGTTGCAGGCTGCTGAGATCACACCACTGTACTCCAGCCTGGGTGACAAAGTGAAACTCTGTCTCAAAAAAAAAGCTGAGTTCTATATATTTCTTATATGGCAGGAATATAATGTCCATGATTTATGAACTTTGTTCTTCACTGATACAATGCACAGAAGTAGACAATTTTGCTTGTCTCTCTATCAGAACCTAAACCGGCAAGCATCTTTAGCCACCATGCTTTGGGAGCAGGGAGACAGGCCAATATCCACCTTCTCGGTGGGTGTTGGCTGGATCCCCAGCTCCTCGTCTCTCTCCTGTTTTCCTTTGTCACTTTGTCGATAGCAGACGTTTGATTTGTAGATGGCACACTTTTGATTTCCAACAAGGCATTTGTTTTCCACAGGATGGACCAAAGAAAACCAAGGATTCAGCATTCTCAACTGGACTACAGCAAGCTGTGGCAGTGATAGAGGATTTGATCCAGTCCTGTGAGTTGGCTGTGGACCTAGCAGCAGTGACTGAATATCCGGTATGTTCCATAGCAAGCGTTAGAGCATCTCAGTCAAAAGGCAGGTGCAATACTCCACAGGGAGGAAACGCCCTGGCAAAGTCAGTGAGAATGTCTCCGGGAAAGGAACCAGACTCTGAGGAAGGCCACCTAAATCGCTCAGGAAACCCGGGCTACGAGATTCCAAGCAGCACCTTGGCATCTTTAGGAATCTTGGGTTTATTCCTCAGAGTTCTGAATGTGGGACTGACCCACTGTCTGGGCAAACCAGAAGGTCAAGGACCAGAACATATAGGGGCAGGGGGAAAGCCCTGAAGGAGTGATTCCTTTTCTAATTCGTGATGCTATTAAAATAGTAAAAGATTTCTCTTCTTGCTTCAGAGTTTCTCTGAGAAAAGTACTTTGGAAACAGGTCCTATATTCTTGCCCTAGTTTTATATCACAGATCCCAGAAGAGGCCCCAAAAGTATACAGTATACATGCTTTAATCCAAATAGTCTAAAGAAAAACAAGAGATGCATTTAGAGGCTGACGCTGGGGAGTTGAGCTCCAGCATCTGTGTCAATCCAGAGCAGGCTGGTCCCAGGCATTCCAGGCAAAACATCCCATATAACTGTGTGGTCTCTGTGGGACTGGAGCAGAGGTAATACTCAACCATTTTTGTTTTTTTGCTTTGAAGTACTCTAGATTTTGATTCAGATGTATTTGTTTTCTTTCACTGTCGTAATAAATTAGCATAAACTTGGTGGCTTACCGCAACACAAGTTTTTTATTATTATTATTATCTTGCAGTTCCAGGGTTAGAAGTTCAACACAGGCTCATGGGCTAAAATCAAGGTGTTTCCTTTCCTTTCTGGAGACTACAGATGCATCTGTCTCCTTGAGTTTTCCAGCTTAAAAAGGCCACCCACACTCCATGGCTCACGCGTCTTCCTCCAGCTTCAAAGCCAGTAATGGCAGGTTGGATTCTTCTTACACCACATCACTGTGACCCCCTTCTGCTTCTTTGTCACTTGTGATTACATTGCACTTTTTTCTTCCTTTTTTTTTTCTTACCTGGTTTTGAACATACCTTGTGCTGAGGTCTTGGTAGAGGAAACGACTTTTCTTTCCTTGTCATAAATCAAACCCTGCAAGTTATTAGGGGCTGAAAAAGGAGATATTTTTACTTCCTGCCTGGTATTTCTCAGCCCTGGATCTCAGAAACTGAGCCCCATGAGGTCTGCTGTGATCCCAGCCATGATGCTGTTACTGTCCCCTGGGACACCAGGGTGTCTCTGCTGACGACCGATACATGATTCAAGAGAGTGTTCTTAAGCTGCAGAGTAAGGTTAGAGTGTGCGTAAGGATCATTTTCTTGGTAATAGTGCTTCCTTCTTCAGCTAAGAAAGTCAAGGGAACAGTTTGTTAGATTAATTTGGGGCATCTTTCTGTTCTTTTTTTAAAAATCTGGAATCATGTCAGCCACCCCTATTAAATGTTCATTTCCCTGAATCTAATGAATGTCCTGGAAAGAATACGCAGAGCAGGACACGCTGAGTGTAGATGACGCAGGAGGAGGAGGCTGTGAGAAAAGAATGGTGAAAACATGAGGAAATAACAATCGGCCCTAATTTCATTCCCAGCCCATTTGCATGCAGATAGAATGAATCCACTTATAGAATTTGGAGATTTTACACCCAAAGGAAAGGACCTTTTCTGACCATGTGTCCTCAGAATTGTACCTTTTCTTCTAAGACTTAACTTACTTTGACATCTAACACATTAGCTAATTTCTCCTGACAGTTTTGTTAATAATCCTTTTAATAATAATCCTGTTGAATTACGGAGGAGTAGGCATTGGAATTTTCAACTTTCTGATTCAAAGAAGATCCATGGAAAGAAGAGTTAACTCACTCAAGATTACATGGCTGTCACCTTGGACTATTTCTTGTTCATCCCCTATCGAGGGTGCCACCCTACTCTTTACCTGACTCTGACTAGAGTTGACTAACAACTGCCTCTAACTCAGATCGAATCATCCCGAGACTCTCTGTCCCCATTTTGTAGCGTTTTATTCCAAGTGTTTATAATCGCATGCTATATGCAGGGCTGAATCCAGAGTTTAACCACTTAGTTTCTCTGCTTGAAATTCAGTATTAACCTAGTTTTATAAAGGAAAGAAATTGAGTGTGATAATCAGATTATCATAATTAAACAACTAGAAAAAAATCCCTTCTGATTTTTTTTTTTTTTTTTTTTTTTTTTTTTTTTTTTTTTTTGAAATGTAGTCTCACTCTGTCACCCAGGCTGGAGTACAGTGTTGCAATCTCGGCTAACCGCAGCCTCCGCCTCCCGGGTTCAAGCAATTCTCCTGCCTCAGCCTCCTGAGTAACTGGGACTACAGGCGTGTGCCACCATGTCCAGCTAATTTTTTGTATTTTTGGTAGAGATGGGGTTTCACTGTGTTAGCCAGGATGGTCTGGATCTTCTGTCCTTGTGATCCACCCACCTTGGCCTCCCAAAGTGCTGGGATAATAGACATGAGCCACCTCGCCAGGCCCTCCCTTCTGATGTTTATATTTTCTCCCTTTTATGCATACTCAATTAGTCCTGGGTCTAATTTAATTGCAAAAGTTGAAAATTTTTTTCCAAACAAGTTTGTTTTGTGGAACACTGAGCTATTTTACTTCTATTTGCAAAACAAACAAAGGTTTTTTTCAAATCCAATGCATAATTGAGATGCATGTAAATTTGGACTTGTCAGGAATAAGTTCCAAGCTGAACTGTAAAGACTGAATGAAATGGTCTTCCTTTTTGGAACACATTTATATAAATCACTAAAGGATGTATTTTTATTACAAGTTCATTGTGGGCTAGGGCCGGCTTTTATCTCTATTTCAGTTCCCTCTCTCTTACCGCACTGTTAGCTGCAGAAATAGGGCCGAGTAAATAATCATAGAGATGGCCAGGCCCGGTGGCTCACGCCTATAATCCCAGCACTTTGGGAGGCCTAGGCGGGCGGATCACCTGAGGTCAGGAGTTCGAGACCAGCCTGGCCAATGTGGTGAAACCCTGTCTCTACAAAAATACAAAATTAGCCTGATGTGGTGGTGGGCACCTGTAATGCCAGCTACCTAGGAGGCTGAGGCAGGAGAATTGCTGGAGGTGGACATTGCAGAGTGAGCTGAGATCGCGCCACTGCACTCCAGCCTGGGCAACAGAGCAAGCCTCCATCTCCAAAAAAAAAAAAAAAAAAAAATCCTAGTGACTCAGGCAAAGTGTCTTATGCATCTTCCCTCTCACAATGCCTGTGTCACAGGTGGTTGTCAGGAGTCAATGAGGATTAAACAGCGAGTAAGGCACCAAGCCCTGTGCCTGGTGCCCGGCAGATGCCCAATGAACGGCCCCAGCCTTCTGTGGGGACCTGCTCAGGCTGGAAAGGAAGAAACCTCTTTGTCTCTGGCTATGTAATCGCAGACTCCCACAGCTTCTGCTTTTCATTATTTCTGGACACAAGTTCTGTGTGGACACATTTATACAGATGTTTCCTGCGTCTTTATGCAAGAAGTTTCTGACAGTCACATCAGCTGTTACTGCCAAGAATGGAAACCTGGGGACCCAAAACAGGCTCTTGCTGAGGCCAGCTTCCTAGGTTCACGCTCCCAGCCGGACTCTTCATTTGGCCGATGTAGTCACATTTGAAATCCTTGTGTCGGGGCTCTTACCTGCAGAATGCCCAAGCATGAACATGGCAGCATTTGCCAATTGATTTTGCTGTCACTTCTTGTACAGAGGAGGACATCTCACTTACCGCCCGCTTGTCTGAGGTAGCCCCTGTGTTCCACCTGTGAGTTCATAACCATCAGGTTCTTCCACACACCATGTGACATGGCCACACTTCTTTGTTACTGGCGGGAAACAGTTGGGAGTACATTTGTTCCCTAGGGCTGATGGAACAAAGAACCACAAACTGCGTGACCTGAAACTACAGAAATTTATTCTCTCACAGTTTTGAAACCTAGAAATCCAAAGTCAAGGTGTGAGCAGGCTATGCTCCCTCGGAAGGCCTTTGGGAAGAATCCTTCCTTAGGTCTTCCGAGCTTCTGGTGACTGCTGGCAATTCTTGAGTTCCTTGGCTGGCTGGCAGCTGCGCCCCTCCAGTGTCTGCCTCTGCTTCTCACGGCTGTCTTCCTTCAGTGTGCGTCTCCATTTCTTTGTCTTCTCTTTTTATAAGGACACCAGTCATTGGATGTGGACCCATCCTGACCCAGTGCAACCTCATCCTCACTAATTCCATCTGCAAAGACCCTCTTCCTGAACAAGGTCATATTTTGAGGTTCTCATAGACATGCGTTTTGGGGGGAACACTGTTCCCCCAGTACAGGGCAATATTCCCTCACAGTGATGAGTATTTTCTTTCCTGTCCCCTATTCCCAGGCACCACTAAATGCCAATAAATAAATACATACTAGGAAGCAGTGCCTGAAAGAGGTTGCACAGCATGATCTCTGACCTTGAGATTAACTTATAGTCAAGCCAGGCACGGTGGCTCAAACCTGTAATCCCAGCACTTTGGGAGGCCGAGGTGGGTGGATCACGAGGTCAAGAGATCGAGACCATCCTGGCCAACATGGTGAAACCCCGTCTCTACTAAAAAAATACAAAAAATTAGCTGGGCATGGTGGCGCGTGCCTGTAATCCCAGCTACTCAGGAGACTGAGGCAGGAGAATTGCCTGAACCCAGGAGGCGGAGGTTGCGGTGAGCCGAGATCGCGCCATTGCACTCCAGCCTGGGTAACAAGAGAGAAACTCCCATCTCAAAAAAAAAAAAAAAAAAAAAAGAGATTAACTATAGTCTAGTTAGAAAGAAAAGGGACATGTGGTGGAAAAGGTCATTCTCTCTCCAGCTCAGGGAATGTCCCTGCAGCTTCCCGTTGGAGGTGGAGCAGCTCCACACAGCACACACCCTGATGACAGTGAATGCACCTGCCTGCCCTTTGCCAGCAGTACGCAGGGCACGTGCTCACCTGCTGGAGGTTGGCCCTTGGGCGTGGAGATGGGCAGTCCCATCACATATGTGGTCCTGAGAACATCTGTGCAGTGTGACCCAGAGGATATGCGCCTGTACATTTAAGCCAGTCTCAGAAGACCCAGCCACTCCCTCCAGTGACTTCCAGGGGTAATGGGCTTACTGGAAAGCGAATCTGCAGAGCCTCAAGAAGTCATGACATGGATGAATCTGGAAACCGTCATTCTCAGCAAACTGACACAAGAACAGAAAACCAAACACCGCATATTCTCATTCATAAATGGGTGTTGAACAGTGAGAACACATGGAGATAGGGAGGCGAACATCACACACTGGGGTCTCTTGGGGGTGGGGGTAGGGGAGGGAAAGCAGGGTGTGGGGAGGTTGGGGAGGAATAACAGAAGAAATAACTAATGTAGGTGACGGGGGGTGGGGGGTGGAGGCAGCAAACCACCATGGCATGTGTGTACCTATGTAACAATACTGCAAGATCTGCACATGTCACCCAGAACTTCAAGTATATTTCAAAAAAGTCACAACGATGGCAAAGCCAGGCTCATGGAGATGGGAACTAGGCAAACCCGGGACCCACAGCAGCTCTGGGGCCTCGGCCTGGGGAGGGAGCCAGGTTCTCACCTGCGTGCCCTGCCCATGGTGCCGAGTGCACCCACATGCCTGCTCGCCCCCCTCTTGCCACCTACTGACCGTTTCTTTCCACTCTGTCCACGTCCGTGTCTTTTTCTCTTCCTGGTAATTTCTAATGACTCACCTTCTTCACAACCCCGTTTCCTTCTCGTTTATTCCACTGCCTGCTTTCCTGTAACGCGTCTGACAGCTGCATGTCCTGCTGGTCACCGCCGCCTCCAGTTCTCTGCAGCTCAGGGAGAGAGCACACTGCTTTTATGCTGGGCCCTGCGTCAGCTGCTGGCGCCGCTCTGGGTTCGCCTCCTCTGGTTACTTGCCTGTGAAGGTGCAGCAGCACGGCTGTGGGTGGGAGGCAAGGCTCAGAGGTGATAAAGCACAAACCGTGTGGCCTGGGCACGCCTCTTCAGCAGTTCTGGTCGGGGCCGTTTCCTCTGCAATAGCCCGCAGCCTTGGCAGATGCCTTCACTAAGGACCCCCCCATCTTCTACAGTCATTAGAGAGTGTATGGCTGGTCTTACCACCTCCTCCCCCATCCTAGCCTCTTCTAGAATTCCTTCTACAGCTGAGCCTCCTCACTGACCAAACGTGTCCTTACAAGCAGCTTTACCCAAAACGTGTCCCTCTGTCTGTCATAGGGCATGGTTGAGGATTCTGCTTAGTGACAACACATCACTGGGAGAAATGTTTCTTGTGTGTTATAAACAGGAATAGCTGTGCTTCTCCAGAACAACCGGTTTGCACATGTCTTCAGACATAAATCCCATCACTCACCATGCTTCCCTCTGTCTTCTACTAGCAGGTCAGAGCCAAGTCTCCAGCAAGTTTAAATGGTTTTATTATATGCATTTTACATACAGCCTTTTCATTTTATTTTTTTCACCTTCTACACCTTCTGGAATAGCTCATCTGATTTATTATCTTTATTTTTAGAGATGGGGATCTCACTTCGTTGCCCAGGCTGGCCTCAAATTCTTGGACTCAGGTGATCCTCCTGCCTCAGCCTCCCAAGTAGTTGTGACTACAGGCAAGCACCACGCTCTCCACTTCATTCTTTCTCCACCCTAATTCCCTCAGTTATTTTCTGTCTGCCTATACTGTGTCTATTTCTGTAAGAAAAGTCAAATGTTTAAAATGAGGTAGAGAGTGAATACATTTTAAGATAGAAACAAGTTTGAGTATCCCTTAGCCAAAATGCTTGAGACGAAAAGTGTTCTGGACTTTTTTGTTTTTTAGGGGAGGATTGGAATATTTGCATAATGAGTTATGTTGGGGGTGGAACCCAAGTCTAAACATAAAATTCATTCATGTTTCATATACACCTTGTACATGAAGCCTGAAGTTAATTTTATATAATGTTTTAAATAATTTTGCGCATGAAGGCTGGGCGCAGTGGCTCACGCCTGTATTCCCAGCACTTTGGGAGGCCGAGGCAGGCGGATCACGAGGTCTGGAGATCAAGACCATCCTGACCAACATGGTGAAACCCTGTATCTACTAAAAATACAAAAATTAGCCAGGTGTGGTGGCACACACTTGTAATCCCAGCTACTCAGGAGGCTGAGGCAGGAGAATCGCTTGAACCCAGGAGACAGAGGTTGCAGTGAGCCAAGATTGCGCCATTGCACTCCAGTCTGGGAAACAGAGCAAGACTCTGTCTCAAAAATAAATAAATAAATAAATAATAATTTTGTGCATGAAGCAAAATTTTAACTGTGTTTCCACTCCCACCCATCACATGGGGTCAGGTATGGAATTTTCCATCTCCACTGTCGTGTTGGTGCTCAGAAATTTTCAGATTTTGGAGAATTTCAGATTTGTGAATGATGGATGGTCAACCTCTGCTGATAACATTTGTTTATGCATCAAATATCAAAGTACCTACTTCCACCAGTTGCTTTGATCAAAACATATTTCTTGCACTATTTATGTCGATATTGAATACAGATTGAATGAGTTTAAAGGAGAAAGCAATCACGAAGGTCTGGGGTGATGACATTTGAGTGGGTCTCTCGATGGATGCCGATACAGTGAAGACATTCTGCAGGGTCCTCATGGACGGATCCACCCTTCTGCTTTGGAATGTGGTGAAGCCCAGCCTGTGAACACAGAACAGGAGCCTTGCCATTTAGGGAAGAAGGCCTCATGGCTGGGAGTTTGAGGGTTGTATTCACCACAGTCTACATACATACATTTTCCAAAGAAGAAAATGGAAAATTAACATAGAAAATAATACCATAGACACCATAGAAATGACTAGAGTTTCTTGCTCTTAAAGTTTTTCTTTGTACATTCAGAAGTAAAGTCAATTCTTTTTAAAAAGATATCTAGAGTTTACCCAACATATAAACAACGAATTATAAAAATGCCCAGCCAGTTATGAATAAAGTACAAATTATAAAAATGCCCAGTCAGTTATTTCCAGTCTTAAGTCAGAAATCACAGGGATTTATCTCAGCTAGAGGTAACTTACGGAGATTTGTCTTAGTTCCCTTCAAATAATTTGTTCCTTTTGGTGTTTTTATTCAGGGAAATAAAGTCTTCTCTGCTTTAAGCAATCGAAGTTTTGAAAAATACCAGATAAAAATACCATGCTCCCAGCTCGTCTTAGTCCACTATCTTTTGAAGAGAGCTCAGAGAAGGCAGAGTCACCTCATTTGGACTTTCAGCCAGACTCATGACAAAGACACGCTTGCTGGTGGAAAGAGACGCATCGCGGTGTCTGCCCTAGAGTCAAAAAGACCTTTTAAAAATCTGTCGGCCAGGCGCGGTGGCTCACGCCTGTAATCCCAGCACTTTGGGAGGCCGAGGCGGGCGGATCACGTGGTCAGGAGTTCAAGAGCGTCCTGGCCAACATGGTGAAACCCCATCTCTACTAAAATTAAATTTTTTTTTTTTTTTTTTGAGACGGAGTTTCGCTCTTGTTACCCAGGCTGGAGTGCAATGGCGCGATCTCGGCTCACCGCAACCTCCGCCTCCTGGGTTCAGGCAATTCTCCTGCCTCAGCCTCCTGAGTAGCTGGGATTATAGGCACACGCCACCATGCCCAGCTAATTTTTTATATTTTTAGTAGAGACGGGGTTTCACCATGTTGACCAGGTTGGTCTCGATCTCTCAACCTCGTGATCCACCCACCTCGGCCTCCCAAAGTGCTGGGATTACAGGCTTGAGCCACCGCGCCCGGCCAAAATTAAATTTTAAAAAAGCCAAGCGTGGTGGTGCGTGCTTATAGTCTCAGCTACTTGGGAGGCTGAGGCAGGGGAATCCCTTGAACCTGGGAGGTGGAAGTTACAGTGAGCCAAATTCTCACTATTACCCTCTAGCCTGGCAACAGAGCGAGACTCTGTCTTAAAAAAAAAAGAAAAAAAAAATCTGTCATTTGGTATTATCTTGGCACTGTTGACTCACTCTGAAAAACTCAGAGTCAAATGCAGTTACTGTTTCCATTATAACGTTATGAAGATCAGATCATGCTAAACTTTCCCTTTCCAGAACAAGCTTCACATTCTCAGGTTCTCATACACCTGAAGCAGAAGTTAGGATGCAGATGGGACACACAGATGCTCATGGGTTCATCATGCAGCCACAATTCTGTCTCTCTCGGACATAATTAAAATGTTCATTTCTTGTCCCTTTGAAGGAGAATGTCTTGTATCAAACATAATGCAGAGGAAATTGAATTCTGCTAGTTAAAATTAATTATGAGTCGAAAACATCACAGTACCCATATCTCTAGTTCAAGTAGTTCTAACATTCTTTACATATAGTATCACCTTTCATAGCTGAATTGATTTCCGTATGTAACTAAATGGCACCACGCTCAGTGAAGCTCACAAAATTGTAGTTTTGATTTAGTGACAGATCAGCCTGAATAGCACTTTTAGAATTGTAAACCTCAGAGAAGCATGCTTTATAAAATTCAAAAAAACAGGCCACGTAAGTGTTCTTTCTCTGCCAAGTAGTTTTACAGCTTCTTTTCCTGTATGTGTGTTTCCAAAAGGATGATATTGGAAAACTAGGTGAGCTGTTGCTGCACGGCCCTTTCAGCGTCTGGACAATTCACAAGGACCGTTATAAAATGAAGGACTTGATTCGATTTAAGCCCAGTCAGAGGCAAGTCTACCTATTTGAAAAGGGAATCGTGTTCTGTAAGATCCGAATAGAGCCCGGGGACCAGGGACCGTCTCCTCATTACAGCTTCAAGAAGTCCCTGAAGGTAAAGAGAGTCCTGTTGCATCTGGCAGTCACCCTATGCAGGAAGATAGAGATTGTTTTCCTTGTTTTACAGACGAGGTAGCGGCAGTGCAGAGAGATGAAGTTCACTTGCCAAATACCACACAGCAGAGCTAGAATCCATACCCAGGTCCGTCTGACACGAGTCAGAGCTTATAACCAGTCTCTGGACAGGACCAGGGCTGGCATAGAAGTGCTTTTGTACTAGACAGAGAAAAAAGACTGTACAGTAGCTGGTCTGGATGAACTAACGAGCAAAAGTACCCTCTTTCCTCCAGGTAGAGAGGTGAAAGACTTAGTGACTGGAACATGGGCTGGATTTCATCTTAACCTTGCCCTTCTCAACTGTGCGTCTTTGTGTCTGAATGTAGGCATTATCCTGACCCTGGGGTCTAAGGGACCCATGCCCACACCAAGCCTTGTTTTCTCGCCTGTTTAGGAACTGTTTCATAGCCAGTTAGCTATGAGGTACACACACACGTACATGAGCCACACACATAGACGTTTATGCTCTTGTGATTAAAGCTGTTAATTGGCCGGGCATGGTGGCTCACGCCTGTAATCCCAGCATTTTGTGAAGCCGAGGCAGGCGGATCATGAGGTCAAGAGATCGAGACCATCCTGGTCAACATGGTGAAACCCCGTCTCTACTAAAAATACAAAAATTAGCTGGCCGTGGTGGCGCGCGCCTGTAATCCCAGCTACTCGGGAGGCTGAGGCAGGAGAATTGCTTGAACCCCGGAGGCGGAGGTTGCGGTGAGGCGAGATCGCGCCATTGCACTCCAGCCTGGCACCTGGTGACAGAGGGAGACTCTGCCTCAAAAAAAAAAAAAGCTGTTAATTTGTTCATAGTAGCCTTTGTTACTTGTTTCTTTTTTCTTTTTTCTTTTTTTTTTTTTTTTTTTTGAGATGGAGTTTCACTCGTTGCACAGGCTGAAGTGCAATGGCACAATCTCGGCTCACTGCAAACTCCGCCTCCCGGGTCCAAGCAATTCACTTGCGTCAGCCTCCTGAGTAGCTGGGATTACAGGCACACACCACCACACCTGGCTAATTTTGTATTTTTAGTAGAGACGGGGTTTCACCGTGTTGGTCAGGCTGGTTTTGAACTCCCAACCTCAGGTGATCCACCCACCTCAGCTTCCCAAAGTGCTGGGATTCCAGGACTGATTACTGGCTTATGTGTCACCATGTCTGGCCTTGTTATTTATGTTTCTTAATGGATGCTTATTCAGTTACTATTATGTAGAAACTTGTAAAACAGGTGTTGAAGGAGAAAGGATCTCTTCACGTAAAGGTTGAGGGCTGCAGCCCCTCCTGCAGGAAGATACAGTGAAAGTTAATAGTCTTGTGTTACCTTCTGAAACAGACAAGGCAGAAGACACTGTACCAGATTGAGTTTTCTGCTGCCTTGGGGTCACTAAGAGAGGAAAGCAAAAATTTGAAAGGAAAATGAAAGAAGAGAGCTGTCAAGGGTAGAGCAGATTAGAGTGACTGACAGAGACGACTTTAAATTCAGAAAACGGTGACATAGAACATTTCTCTTCCCTCTTTACAATAGCTGATGTCACTTTCAATTCACCAGCTTGGAAGGGGGAGCCATAGAAAGTTTGAGCTTGCCAACCGAAATGGACTTGAGAAATACATCCTGCAGGTAAAGCTCGTGCTTTCCCCAGAGGTCTCCTCTACTCTTCCCTTATTGCGTCCCCATGACTTGACAAGTGTTTTCTACCTCATTATTCTAACGGTCACTGGGAGAATAAAATCTCTGCAATTAACACTCAGGGTGATCTTATACTCACAGCATTTTCTTATGTGTAATTGCAGGCAGCTTCAAAAGAAATCAGAGACTGTTGGTTTTCTGAAATAAGTAAATTATTGATGGAACAACAAAATGAAGTTAAAGGTAGGTTACCCGTGCTGACTTCCATCTGTAGGGTTATACTTATTTGAGCTCAGTGGGGGATGTACAGGTGGGGGATATTGTTGAAGAAAATGGTTTGCTGGGAAAACAGTGTGGCCACATTTTCACAGACCCTGGAAGGATCCGTGCTTGCTTTCGATTGTGGTGGAGACGGAGGGGTTGTGTGATTGTGTGTGGTTGTGTTGCTGTGTCTCTTTTGGTTGTGTTCCCCCCACACGCCTAATTGCCAAGATCAACTTCTTAATAAATCTGAAGGTCACCCAAGAAAATGTTAACAGAGATTCAAATGGCCAGTACTACCTCTCGGACATTGTACTCCTCTTTTTAAACATCAAGATATAATTAACATACCAGAAAACTCACTGTCTTAAAGTATACAATTCTGTGGGTTTTAGTGTATTCACAAGGTTCAGTAACCATCCCCAGTCTAATTCTAGTTTTTTTTATTTTTTACTTTTGTTTTTTGTTTTAAAGTCTTTAACAAACTAATTCTATTCTACTTTCAAAATCATGACTCTCTCCCAACAAAAAAATTCTGTACCAATTAGCAATCATTCTCTATCTTTCCTTCCCCCAGCCCCTGGCAATCACTGATGTATTTTCCGTCTCTATTGGATTTTCCTCTAGACATTATATATATATGGTCCTTTCTGTCTGGCTTCTTTCACTTCGCATATTTTTTTAAGTTTCATTTATGTTGCAGCATCTGTCAGTACCTCATACCCCTCTCTGGCTGAATAACAGTCCATTGTGTGGATATACCATCTTTGTTTACCCATTTATTAGTTGATGAAGATTTGGGCTGTTTCCACTTTTTGGATATTGTAAGTAATGCTACTGTAGATATTTGTGCACAGATTTTTGTGCAAATCTTTATTTCCAGTTTTCTTGGGTGTATATCTGTGGAATTGCCAGACCATATGGTAACGTTTGTTGACTTTCTGAGGAACTTCCAAATCATCTTTCAAAATCATACCACATTTCACATTCACTCAACAATATGTGAGGGTTCGATTTTCTCCATTGCCTTGCTAACTCCCTTGTATTGTTCATTGTAATAACGATTATTATTATTGCCATCCTAGTGGGCACGTACTGGTATCTCATTGTGATTTTGATTTGCATTTCCCTCATGGCTAGTGAAGTTGAACATCTTTTAACATGCATTTTGGCCATTGGTATATCTTCTTTGTAAAAATGTCTATTCAACTCCTTTGTACATTTTTTAATTGGCTTGTCATTTTATGGTTGAATTGTAAGAGTTATTTATATATTCTGGATACTGGACTCTTACTGGATATATTGTTTGCAAGTATTTTTTCCCACACTGTGCATGGTCTGGAAACCTCTTTGGTAGAGTTCTTTGCAAAGCGTTTGTAGTTTTAACTCTTACAGTTAGGTCTTTGATTCATTCCGAGTTAACTTTTGTATATGATGTGAATTAGGAGCCCAAGTTCATTTTTTTACATGTGGATATCCTTTGTCCCAGAACCATTGGTTGAAAAGACTATTCTTTTCCTGCTTTGAATGGTCTTAGCATCCTTCTTGAAAATAAATTGGCTTTAGGTATAGAATTCTTTGCTGATACTTTTTCTGTAAGCGCTTTGACTATGTCATCCCATTGCCTTCCAGACTCCGTGATCTCTGATAGCAATCAGCTGTTAATCTTATTGAAGGGTCCTTGTATGTGCTTGCTGCTTTCAACGTTCTTTGTCTTTGTTGACAGTTTGATTATGATGTGTCTAGGTGTGGATCTTGATCTCTTTGAATTTATATTTCTTCGGGTTTATAGACTTCCTTGAAGATATAGATTAATGTTTTCCATCAAATTTGGGAAATGTTCAGCTATTTTTTTCCTTAAATATTCTTTCATCACATTTGTCTCTCTCTCTTCTACAACTGCCGTTATACATCGTTAGTGTGCTTGAAGGTGTCTCACGGTCCCTGAGGCTCCATTCATTTTTCCTTCATTCCTCTTTCTCTTCCTCAGGCTGGATAGTTTCAATTGACTTATATATAAGTTCTCTAATTCTTTGTTCTGCTTGCTCAGATCTGCAATTTCTCTTTCAATTATTATACTTTTCAAATCCATAATTTCTGTTTGGTCCTTTAAAACAGGTCTTTATTTATATTCTCTATTTAACGAGGATTTGTTCTTTTACTTTCCTTTAGTCTTTATATATGATTTCCTTTAACTTCTTGAACATGTAAAAATAGTTAAAGTATTTGTCTAGTAAGGTCAGTATCTTGGCTTCCTCAGGAACAGTTTCTATTGACTAATTTTCCTTTTTCCCTGAGTAGAGACTGCATTTTCTTATTTCTTTACATGTCTCATAATTTTAAAATTAATGAGACATGTAAAGAAATATATGAGACATGTAAAGAAATAAGGACATTAAATTGGACATTTTAAATAACACAATGTAACAACTCTGGAAACTGGACTTTCCCACCTCTCCTGTTGGTTGTTTTTGCTGTTCATTGCTGTTTGTTGTTTAGTGACTTTTCTAAACTAATTCTGTGTAGTCTGTATTCACATGCAGCCATTGAAGCCTCTGCTCAGTTAGCTTAGTGCTCTAAATACTAATGACATGACAAAGATTTCTTTAAACACCTGAAACCAAGAAGTCTTCACGTCTCTGCCAAGGGGCCATGTGTGCAGATTAGAACCTTCAAGCTCAGCCTGGCACTTGATGGTTCTATCCTAGCCTTCACTTTCTGTTGTGCAGATTATCAGGATCAGAGGGAGGTAAGATCACAGGGACTTCTCAGAGCTGTCCTGAACATGCTCACAGGAAAGGTATGCATGGCCTTCTAGAGTCTCTCAAATATTTTGGAGCCTTTACAAGCCTCTATGAGCATCTTATTCCTGAGCTTTTCCTTTTAATCTTTTTGATTAGCCCACGTTTGCCCCACTGTTAGCCAATATCTCAAGCAACCAAGAAGTTAAACAATTGCCTATAATCATTTTCTACAGAGGCCTTTGGGGAAAAGGCTTTTCACATTGGGCAAGTTATGAGTCAGGCCTAAAGACAGCCTGGCAGGTACGGTATTCCTAGGAACCCCTGGACAGGTCAAATCATGATAGTTCTCTGGGAATGAGGCTCCGTCGGTGCCCCATTCCTGTTCTCCTCCCATGGCTGCCAGACTGCTGATTTTTACCATCATTGCAGGCTGTTCATTTCTAAGGTTGCCCCCAAGGAAGGGGAGGATAGGAACAGGGCAAGTTAAAATGCCACAAAGCTCACCGTACATAGTGAAACACAGCCATTTTCCTTGAGTAAATGCTCTCCACATTGCTGCAAGCCCTTGTTTAATATCCAGTGTTCGGAAAATCAATTTTCTGACCATTTTTGCCAGTTTTTTCTCATGCTTTCGCAAAGAAGAGAATTTGGAGGGGGGGCTTCCTCCACCATTTTTACTGATGTCACACACTGTACTCCTTTCAATATTAAAAATCATCTTTAAGTAGGCTTTATCCTTTCACATATTTTTTTGTTGTTGTTGTTGTTTTGAACCAGTTCTCACAACAGGAGGGACATTTGGTGGGAAAATCCACACCAAGCTTTATGGATTAAGTTCTGATGCTCCCTTCAGGTGATGTTACTACGGTTAAGAAATGCCAGTCTCATGTGGAAAGTCTCTCTTCCATTATTTATACTGGCAGTGGTTTGCATTTTCAGTAAGAAAAATGGCATAAAAAAGAAAAGATAAATTTTGTCTTTAGAGACAGCTGAAATGCAACCATTTCACACTTTTTCTATGTCTTCTCTGATCGTCAGCTGCTCAGGAATGTGCAAGGCTGGGTGTGCCTCATAAGATAAGGGAAAAGATAAACCAAGCAGTGTAACTGGAAAGCCACCACATCAATTCTCTGTCACAAAAACTAAGCAACATAAGTTCTTGATTTAAACTGTAGGCATCTGCCAGGAACTAGTAACAAGATTATGTCACTGATTTTACTTTGTATAAAGATAATATGGGAAAAAACTAGGATTTACTTTTGTTTTTCAACTAGTAATACTTCGTTACAAATACATGTTATGTTAATTGAGTAGAGTGTCCTAGAGGCTTAACACAGAATGGTATGGCAACTCTAATAGAAAAAGTCACTAATTTGCTGCAGAAACAACATTCTAGTCACAAGCTTGTTTAGAAATCCTTACTTAGTAAGTCAGTGTTGCTCAAAGGGTGGTTTAAGCGCCACCTGCATTCGAGTTATTTGAAGGGCTTGTTACAAATGCAGATTTCTGGATCCCTCCCCAGAACTATAGAATATCTAGGGCTAGTCCTGGGGACATACATTTTAGTTTATTAAAGTTTCCAGGTAGAGAACTTTTACTATAATTTTTTAAACTCCTTTGCTGAGGTATAATGACGCGATAAATCACACAAATTTAAAGTGTACAATTGGGTAAGTTTTGCTGTCTGTATACATCTGTGGGGCATCACCACAGTCAGGAAAAGGAACATGTCTATCACCCCCAAAGGTTCACTCACAGCTCTTTGCATTCCCTTTCTCCCGCCCACCCCGTCATCCGCCCCGGGTGGTCACCAGTCTCCTTTCTATCACTATACGTTAGTTTGCATTTTCTAGAATTTTGTGTAACATGATAAAGTGTGTACTTTTTTTTTGGTCTGGCTTCTCTCCTCAGCATAATTATTCTGAGATTCGTCTATGTTGCATTTTGTAAACAATAGTACATATTTTTGTTGTTGCTGAATAGTAGTTCAGTAGTATTTCATTGTTTGGCTAGACCTCATTTTCCTTATCCATTTACTTGTTAATGAACATCTGATTTGTTTCTGCTTTGGGGCTATTTTGAATAATGCTGCTATGAACATGCAAGTACAAGTCTTTGTGTGAACATGTGTTTTCATTTCTCTTGGATAAATACCTAAGAGTGTAATGGTTAGGCCATATCATAGGTGTACATTTAATTTTTTAGAAAATTGCTAACTACTTTCCAAAGTGATTATACCATCCTCCATTTCCATAGTGTGAGAGTTCCTCTTGTGCCATGTCCTCACCAATACTTGATATTGTCAGTCTTTTACATTTTCAGATTTCTAATAGGGACATAGTGGTATGTCATTAAGGGTTTAATTTGCCTTTCCCTAGTAATTGTTGAACTCACTTTATATACTTCTTTGACATCTTAAGATCTTCTTTGGTGAAGGGTCTGTTCAAATCTTTTGCTCATTGTTTTCTTATTATTGAGTTTTGAGAGTTATTATGTATATCCTAGATACCTGTCCTTTTAATGCTTTGTAAATATTTTCTTTTAGTGTGTGGCATATCTTTTTCTCCTTTTCTCTCTTTACAAAAGAGTAACTTTTGAAGAGCAAAAGTCTAATTCTTAAAATATTTTAATTATTATACTATTAAATATTTTCTTTTAGTGTGTGGCATATCTTTTTCTCCTATTCCTCTTATTCCAAAAGAGTAACTTTTGAAGAGCAAAAGACTAATTCTTATAATATTTAATTTTAAAAATTTGTATGAATTATGCTTTTGGTGTCCTGCCTAAGAAACCATTATCCAAATGCCACAAAGATTTTCTCCCTTTTTTCTTCTAGAAGTTTTATAGTTTTACATTTAGATCTCTGATCCATTTTGGGTTTGTTTGTTTCTGTTTTTGGTTTGTATATGGTGTGAGGTATGGATCAGACTTCAGTTCTTTGCATATTGATGTTCTAGTTTTTCCATTGCCAATTGCTAAAAACACTGTTGTTTCTCCTACTGACTATTTATGTAAGAGTATCTATTTCTAGATGTCTGATTCCTTTCCACTGATTTGTTTGTCTACCTTGCCATCATTACCTCACTATGTTGGTTATTGCTGCCTTCTAATAAGTCTTAAAATGAGTTGGTTTGAGTACTTTAATTTTGTTCCTCCTTTTTAAAGTTATTTGATTATTCAGTGTCTTTGTGCTTCTACACGTATTTTAGAATCTGCTTGCCAACTTCTCAAAAAAGCTTATTGGGATGTTGATTAGGATTGCGTAAAATCTATAGACCAATTTGGTGAGGATTAACTTCTCAACACTATTAAGTTTAATCTAAAATTTAAATTTTAACTGACTCCCTGCCGCCTTCCCTGCCTTGCAGAAAAAGACAAGTTTGTTATGATATTTATTCAGTTGACAGTTCAGAAACAGATTTCTCAAGCCCTTCTTAAGATTGCACTGTGCTCTCTAGTTGTGACAGGATTGCAAAATCTAGATAAGAAGCAAAACCAGGCCCCAGCATGTAGTATAAAGGCCCAGAGGAGTTGTCCCAGCCCCTTCCTTTTGCAGATGTACAATCACAGGGTCAGTTTCACATAATTTGTCAGCGGCCAAACTGAGTCTCCTGAGCCTGGTGCACCGAGCAGGGTCTGATGAAATGTCTCTGTGAGTGATGCAAATGGCAAGGGTTCTAAGAATTCAGAGAGGGCCCACAGTGGATGGTGAGTGAGCAGGAACCAGGGCCCTGGGCTGGACCAGCGGCAGAATGCAGACTCAGGCTCAAAGATATCCAGGCATTGTTGAGAAGGTGGTGTCCAGGGTTCCAAGATCAGGAATATCAGGACTGTCATACCTCATGCCTGCTGAGCACTTTACAAAGCTCTGACATATAAACATTATCACCTAGATTCATTTTTACACCACCCTACAACATCTTTCAACTTTTGGGGATTGTTAAGCATAATAACCCTATACACTGGGCAATATACAGGTACCTCAGGGCCGTGGGTGAGAGGAAGGACACTGCGAGCCAATGAAGGATATAGAGAGAGGGCCTCTTGAGATAACCAGGCAGAAGAGGACATCGTACCCAGGTGTTATGGAGTCAGCTAGGGCTTGGGCAGGGAAGAGAAGAGTGTCGCTGATGGTTGAGACACAGAAGCAGGAGAAGCCAAAGAGGGAGGCAGGCGCTGAGGTTTGGGACAAGCTCCTCAGTTGTGGCATCACTACCTGAGATCAGTAAGTGTAGCAAGACTGCCAGGAAATATCAGGCCCCACCCAGACGAAGGCAGGGGCAGGCAGTGCGGTGGGTGGGAAATGCAAGGCAAAGCCCCAGTCCTGGCAGAAATCAAGGCCACCATCCCATCCTAGGAACCGGACATGCGCCAGTCACATTGGTAGTAAAAGGTGGGCCCAGGAACCTTGAAAACCAGAGAGCTGCCTCAAAGAGCACATTCAGTGATGATCTGGAGCCCAGCTTGAGAGAGTCAGGGATGGGGTGGAAGGAAATGGAGATGGAGAGCTACGCCTCAAACATCGGGCCGAGGAATTTGGCCTTTATGCTGGGGCAGGCGGTGGAGGGTCCCTGGAGATGGAGATCTGGTGTGCTTCTCATGCCTGGGACAACACTTGAGTAAAGAATGTGATTCTTATCACCGTCCCCGGGACTTATGACTTTTTCCCCCATCAAGTCACATAATTTGGGCTCACATGGAAAAAAATCAGCATTTGATGGGCATACTGTTTATTTATTGATGCAGTATTGATGGAGGAACCGTAGGAACTTGGTTGGACCCAGAATCAATGCACGTGGGAAACTCAACAGGATGGATAGAGAGGAGGGGAGGATGCCAGGATGTGAGCCAGGGGCTGCAGCCATGTTTTCCGAACTCCTGGGAAAACAAGATCAAGACCTACACCTTTATAGATCTTTATAGTATTCTCTCTATGCACATATATGTATTTAAAAATCAATATGTAAAGCTAATTCAAATTAGCTTAAATTTGAGAGTGTTGTTTTTTGTTTTCGTTTTTTTAAATCTTAGACCAAGGAAATCCACAGTTTGAAATGAGCACTGGGTGAGTACTGATATTTTATTTTAAAGACATGTCAGTTGCTTTGGCTGTTTCATATTGAGTCCATGTCATTGCTTTTATTGCTTTTTTTTTTTTTTTGTCCCCCTAACACTTGGCTTATTACAAGGGATTTCCAATATTTAAAAAATATTGGCCAGGTGCAGTGGCTCATACCTGTAATCCCAGCCCTTTGGGAGGCTACGGCAGATGGATCGCTTGAGTCCAGAAGTTTGAGACCAGCCTGGGCAACATGGTGAAACCTTGTCTCTAACCAAAAAAAAAAAAAATACAAAAATTAGCCTAGCATGGTAGTGCGCTACTCGGGAGGCTGAGGTGGGAGGATCACTTGAGCCCAGGAGGTCGAAGCTGCAGTGAGCCTAGATCACATCACTGCACTCTAGCCTGGGTGACACAGCCAGAGCCTATCTCAGAAATCAGTAAGTGCATAAGTACATAAATAAATATAAAAGATAAAATAATAAATCAGTTCCCAACCTCACTGCTAGCCTAGGCTATTGAATCAGTTTCAAACCCCACTGCTAGCTAGGATATCTTTTCTGGTGCTTGCTTGCTGTGTCGCCAGTTGAGGTAGACCCGCCAGTTCGAAGCCTCCCCTAATTGCCCTTGCTTTCGGCTGTTTTCTTGAGCTTTCTGTTCCGTTCCTATTTTCACAAGGCTGCCCTGCCTCCTGCTTGGCTGAGCAGGCACAGTTACCCAGGGCTTCCTCCTCTCCACTCAGAACCCTCCCGATCATCTTCCTTTCTTTATTCCCCCTTGTCTGGGAGGAAGACGTGCTCACACTCCTCTCAGGGTTAAGTCGTCACTGGCACTCCCCGCCCCATCCATTCCTACAACTTACAAGCAATCTGCCTGGGTAGTTCCTCTTCCTGTCCAAAGCACTCAGTGAGTTCTCAGTGTGTGGTTACTGAGAACACCTGTCGACCGTGATCCAGTTCTGGTACAGGAGTCTGCTGCGTTTTTCTAAAGCTCATTTGGCCCACTCCTCTGTGGAAACCTCCTCGACCCTAACCCCAAACGGTGAGGGCTCCAGAAAACAGCTGTTTCTCCCCCTCCTCTCTGCCCCCACACTCTTACGTAGTTCTCTATTGCAGTGTTTAATATGCTGTAATTTTATGATGTGTTTACCTTTCCTCCCTATAGACCATGAACTCCTCTAGGGCATGGAGGCTGTCTTATCAGTTTTAGCTTCCCTCAGGCCTCATCTACCAAGAGCCTGGCAGTTGTGTAGATGCTCAGTAAATGTTTAGTGAGTAAACAACTGAAAGAACTCATAGAATAATTAGATGAGGCCAGCACACCACTCTACAAGCAAGGCCGGAGGTCATGAGGTTTGGCTCAGGCACCTCCAGTGCTTAGTAGGTGTTGATTCTCTGGATTCGTCTAGCCCAAAAGAGTTACTATAATAGTTGACATTTTGGGTCAATAAAGAGGACGGAAGGAGCTGTAGTGAGCCAGTGAAGACATTTTTGAGAAGACAAAGGGGATTCTTCCTCCTCACCTCTTGCCCTTTAAGATTTCTAGCCAATTAGATGTGTGCTGTGTAATCTAACAAGGAGTGTCCTTGGACATTTCCTTACCGCGTATCACCCGCCGAGCTGAGGCAGGTCTTCAGCTACAGGTAAGGGAGGAGTTGCGGTCCTCGAGACCCAGACTGGAGATGGGCTAGGTGAGCCAGCGCTACTCCGACCGGTAGGGGAGGGATGTGTGTGTCATTCCTTCCAGTGACTCAGTGTTCATGTTGATTTCTCTAAAGCAAAGGCAGTGAAGTGGGCTGCGGACCATGGATTGAAGATATGGAAAGGGCTGCCACCAGCAAGGAAGACCCAGCCTCCAGCACAGGAGGGGTTGAAGGTAAGGAGGGTCCCGTGGGAGAGGGGAGCACAGAAGCAGTGGGGTGATGCCTGCTGTTAGGTGCTAAGGAAGACACCACCTAGGACCTAGCCCTTCTGTAGTGAAATGAGGGAGAAAAAAGAGCATTTTACCACTATGTGGTATAAAATCGATTTCCTGCTATTCATTTGCGTAGAACTAATTGGGCCAGAATGCATATGACGGGCAAATGTCTCACACTGAGAAGTCTGGGAGCAGTGCCCCCTTATCCACGGTTTCACTTTCCAGGTTTCAGTTACTCTTAGTTGACTGCTGCCCAAATAGCAAATGGAAAATTACAGAAATAAACAGTCAGTGAATTTTAAATGATGCGCCATCCCGAGCAGAGTGATGTGGTCTCATGCCTTCCGCTGTGTCTTGCTTGGGACATGAATTATCCCTGTGTCCAGGGTGTTCCCGCTGTCTCTGCTCCCCACCCTGCCAAACTTAGTCACTTGTAGCCATCTTGGTGATTAAATGGACTGTCAGGATAACAGTGCCTGTGTTCACATTGCACTTATTTTACTTAATAATGGCCCCCAAAGCATAGCAGTCATCCTGGAAATTCAGATGTGCCAAAGAGAAGCCGCCAAATGCTTCCTTTAAGTGAAAAGGTGAAAGTTCTTGACTTAACAAGAAAGAAAAAAAATCACAGGCTGAGGTGGCCAAGATCTACGGTCAGAAGGAATCGTCTACCCATGACATTGTGAAGAAGGAGAAAGAAATTTTTACAGGTTTTGCTGTCGCATCTCAAAACTGCCAGAGTTATGGCAGCAGTACCAAGATGAGAAAGGAGTTATAACAGTGTGGGTGGAAGACGAACAGAAACGTGTTCCCGCTGAGGGCAGTTCAGTTCGGTCATCGCTGCGGTTTCAGGCATCCACGGGGGATCCTGGAAGGTAGCCCCCTAGGATAAAGGGGGACTGCTGTGCATGTGGTTATAAATATGTCCAAACCCAAGGAATGCACACCACGCGTGAACCATGATGTGAGCTACAGACTGTGGGTGAATGTGGTATCTTCAGGGTAGGTTTGTCCATTGTAACAAATGTGCTTCTCTGGATGTGGAGAGTGGGGAGGCCGTGCACGTGTGAGCACAGGGGATGTGTGGGAAATCTTTGTACCTTCCTCTCAGTTTTCCTATGAACCTAAAACTGCTCTAAAAAAAATAAAGTCAGCTGAGCGCGGTGGCTCATGCCTATAATCCCAGCACTTTGGGAGGCTGAGGCAGGTGGATCACCTGAGGTCAGGAGTTGAAGACCAGCCTGGCCAACATGGTGAAACCCTATCTCTACTAAAAATATGGCCAGGCATGGTGGCTCATGCCTGTAATCCCAGCACTTTGGAAGCCTGAGGTGGGTGGATCATCTGAGGTCAGGAGTTCGAGACCATCCTGGTCAACATGATGAAACCTCATCTCTGCTAAAAATACGAAAATTAGCTGGGCATGGTGGTGCGTGCCTGTAATACCAGCTACTTGGGAGGCTAAGGCAGAAGAATTGCTTGAACCAGGGAGTCTAAGGTTGCCGTGAGCCGAGTTTGCACTACTACACTCCAGCCTGGTGAAAGAGCAAGACTCTGTCTCAGAAAGAAAAAAAAAATTAGCCAAGTGTGATGGTAGGCACCTGTAATCCCAGCTACTCAAGAGGCCAAGGGAGGAGAATTGCTTGAACCTGGGAGACAGGTTACAGTGAGCCGCGATCACACCATTGCACTCCAGCCTGGGCAATAAGAGAGAAACTCCTTCTCAAATAAACAAATTAAATTAAATTAAGTCGCCGGGCGCGGTGACTCAAGCCTGTAATCCCAGCACTTTGGGAGGCCGAGGCCGGTGGATCACGAGGTCGAGAGATCGAGACCATCTGGTCAACACGGTGAAACCCCGTCTCTACTAAAAATACAAAAAATTAGCTGGGCATGGTGGCGCGTGCCTGTAATCCCAGCTACTCAGGAGGCTGAGGCAGGAGAATTGCCTGAACCCAGGCGGCGGAGGTTGCGGTGAGCCGGGATCACGCCATTGCACTCCAGCCTGGGTAACAAGAGCGAAACTAAAAAAAAAAAAAAAAAAAAAAAAAAAAAAATTAAATTAAGTCTTCTAAAAAAGTTTTTAAAACAAACCACACATGGAATTAGGGTAGAGAGTATTGGCAGCCTGCCCAGATCCTCCTTCTGGGCTGTTGCCCCACATCTCTGCTGCCAACAGCTAACCTCAGTGTCTCTACACATTTGAGAGGTTAGAGGTTAGCTGACAACGGCTCACAGTTGTGCCCTTCAGACAGCTGCCCTCACCTAACCAGGGCCGTCCAGCCAGGAGATGCCTGTGAGCTTATGTATGAGGTCAAGGCGGAGCAGGCCACTGTCAACCCAGGAGGTCAAGGGCACCTACCCAGACATCCTCATTCCTAGGGGGGCTTACGACCCACCATGGCTTACTGATTCAGGGTCCAGAGGCCATTCCTGTCTTGGGATGGTGACCTGTGGTGTCGTCCATGCTCCAGCACTGCCCAGAGGCTCCAGCTGATGGTGGACTTCTGCCAAGCCCACGTCTGGGCCTGGCTTCCTCCCTGTCCTGGCTTCAGCCCTCACGGTCTCCAGGCTTCATCTGAAAGCCCTTTCTCAATAACACATTTGCAAAGGCTGCTTCTGGGGAACCTGACTGAAGACTGTTAGCACCAGGAGGGGGCCAGGAATGGATGGGATTCTGGTGTTGGCTCCCTGCCGGCCAAACGGCGGCAAGGACCTCCCTACTGGTGTTGAGGGGAGTGCTGAGAGTCCCAGGTCACCACAGGGGAAGTTCTGAGCAACTGAAGGGCTCCAGCAGGCGGGGCACCAGGACTCTCCATGCTCCACTTAACACCAATAACGAGACGTTTCAGGAAACTATTATCTACCAGGAAGGTAGATTGGGAGGCTGTTGCTAAGAGCCTCCCATTGGTCCACTGAAGAGAGAAAGTAACAGACTTAGACTAATTACCAATTTAAAGCACAGGATCAGAATCAGGGGCCTCCCTGCCGACATTTAGCCTCTCATCTCCTGCAGCAGAGAGGGACTGGGCCAGGGAAAGTGGCAGAATTTGAGAGAAGAAAGAATTCTCAACCCAGGCAAGTCTGCCCTCTGGTCACTGTGGGGCTCCTAGTGCCAGTAGATGAGCAAAGTCAGACCCTCAGAAGGAAGATAAGGGACGCAGAAACTGGGAATGAGGGTGTCTGGGAATATGCCCGTGACCTCCTGGGCTGGCAGCAGTGGTCTGCTCCGCCTTCTGTACTACAAAGCACAGCCAAGGCCCAGTGGCAGCAGCCGCTCATCTAGTGAGGTAGGATTCTTGCTGTGGTCCCGGTGGAAGTGTCTCCCTTGGGTACTGTCCCTTGGGGGAGACAGTCCCTCCTCATGACAACCAAGACCCATTTCTCCTTCCAGTATGGTGACTGCTCTCTTGGCCTGCTGGTCTCCTGGTGTGAGGACGAAGAGATGGGATTCCTCATGCCAGCAGGGCTGGGGCCTGGTGGGGAGGGAAGAAGGTGAGAGGCACCCAAGACTGTTCCCTGAGACTACGCAGAAGCCTCCGATGAGGCCTACAAGGCCATGTTTGTCCTTCTCAAGATTTGTCCCCACCGCCCACCCCCGCCTGAACCCTTCCAGAACAATAACTAGGATCAAATGACATGATCTGACTGGAGAAGGGGCACGCAGCCTTGCGGGCGCGAACTCAGAAGGTGAGAGTCTTGGAATTGTGCTTTAATGCCCACTACAGAGGATGCGTAGGGGAAGCCGTCAGTCCACGTCCTGTTAGGCACCCTAGTGCCTGTGCCACGGGCTGCTAAACGGAGAAGCCTGGGGAGCAGAAGGGGACCTGTGCTGGGCCACAGCAGGAGGGCTCCCTGTCTTCAGGCCTGCTCTAGCGGCCACCACTGTTAAACGTCCAATGTGCCAGCAGAGGTCAGTGCTGAGCGCCCAGCTTGGCAGCGTCCTTTGAGTTGATAAAATCTGACCCCTTCAGGTTAGAAAGTACAGTGTGATCAACCATTTAACATTGCTTTTTTTTTTTTTTTTTCGGAGATGGAATTTCACTCTTGTCGCCCAGGCTGGAGTGCAATGGTGTGATCACGGCTCACTGCAACCTCCACCTCCTGGGTTCAGGCAAATCTTCTGCCTCAGCCTCCCAAGTAGCTGGAATTACAGGCTCACGCCATCACACCTAGCTAACTTTTGTATTTTTAGTAGAGGAGACAAGGTTTCACCATGTTGGCCAGGCTGGTCTTGAACTCCTGACCTCCGGTGATCCACCCACCTCGACCTCCCAAAATTCTGGGATTACAGGGGTGAGCCACTGCCCCTGGCCATATAACATTGCTTTGATCAGGGGACTCAGTGTGGCAAAAGAGGATCAGCGGTGGACATGTGATCACAAGATATTTTTTTTTTTTTAGATGAAATCTCACCCTGTCGCCCAGGAGGCTGGAGTGCATTGGCATGATCTCAGCTCACTGCAACCTCCACCTCGAGTTCAAGCGATTCTCCTGCCTCAGCTTCCCCTACAGCCTCAGACTACAGGCACCTGCCACCATGCCTGGCTAATCTTTTCTATCTTTAGTAGAAATGGGGTTTCACCATGTTGACCAGGCTGGTCTCAAACTCCTGACCTCATGATCCACCCTCCCCAGCCTCTCAAAGTGCTAGGATTACAGTCCACCACACCCAGCAGGACACAGTCTTAACCCCCACCCCCCATTCACAAGCTGGCAGCCTGATAGAGTAGTGGGACAGGCTTTTGAAAGTGAGCTGGGGCAGCAGTTTGGACGGGGCGCTGTGGGGATGCGGTGTGTACTCAGGATGCAGTATACAGCTGAACCAATGGCTGTTTTACGGCACCATGCCCCCAGGAGGCAGAGTACAGGAATCTGGGAGACAGGAAGTCAATGAGTTGTGACCTTGCCCATGATGACTCCAGTGATCCACATGGGGAAATTTGCTTCTCCCCATG